TTTCCCCCTATTTTAATCGGAGTACAAATTGCTGTCAGCACATCGAGTTCATGTGCCAGCCACATTCAGAACAGGGTGTTCTGTGCTCTTCAAAACAAAATTGCTCTAGGGCAGTAAGAGAACAATAAGTCAGAGCTCCAGTTTAAGTGATGTTTTGCAGCTCACTTGATGTGGTTACACTCGGATTGCGCAGCTAAGCTTGGGTAATTTGGTTTGGTTTGACTTTGGGGGGATTTGGAGGACCTCCCCCCCTTTAAGTTACATAGATTTTAAGACAAGAAAAAAATATTGCCTCTTTTTAACTTGTTTATTTCTTTCTCTACCAGAAAAGCCCTAAGTAGAAGCATCCTGTATGTACTTTTATTCTCTTTGGGCACGTCATAGATGATTTACTTCCCATAAATCATGCTGGTTGGGATTAGCAACAGACCTCCTGAGCCCTAGAGGCTGAGCTCCCAGTGAGTCATGATGGTTATTATTAAATATTTATTAAGTGAGTATTTGCACTAAGAGATGCCAGGTCAAAAGTAACCATAGGTCTTCCACAGCCAGAGCTGCCGTGGTTTTGTTTTGTAGCAATTGTTAAGATGATTAATAAAAAGGAATAACTGGCTCTGTGGAAACAAGGCACGTCTGCATTCTGTCACCGGAGGGAGCCCTGCTGTGGTGGTGGGCAGTCTTTCTGTGGCTCCAAGTGGTGTGAGTTCTTGTCAGCAGTCTTGTAGAACTTGTCACACTAGTGTCCCAAATTTAGAAACCAGTTAACCCAGCAATAGCCTTTACTACTTGTAGATGTAAAGAATCAGTGGGCTCTATATACCCTGAGACTATGAAACCTCCTTTTGCTCTGACATTCCAGATATTGTCTGTATTACAAGATTTTTTTTTTTTTTTTTCAGACATAGTCTCGCTTTGTTGCCCAGGCTAGAGTGAGTGCCGTGGTGTCAGCCTAGCTCACAGCAACCCAAATTCCTGGGCTCAAGCGATCCTCCTACCTCAGCCTCCTGAGTAGCTGGGACTACAGGCATGTGCCACCATGCCTGGCTAATTTTGTTCTTGGTTATGATTATTTTTTTTTATTTCCAATGTTAATTTTTCTTTCTTTATTTTTTTATTTTTTTATTTTTTGTGGGAGATGGGGATTGGTTGGTCGCGTGTGTCGCTGTGCGTTGTGTGGGGTGTGCGGCTAGGTTTTGCGGGCGGTCCAACCCGAACCTTGAGTGATTCACCCACCTCGCCCCTGAGTGCTAGGATTAACAGGCGTGAGCCATCACGCCTGGCCAAATGGATTTTTAATACACATGTAAACTGAGGTGTATATGATTGATGCGTATCAGTTTGAGATTTTTGTACTGCAGGTAGTGCTTGTTCAGTCATTGTGAAAGAGTAGGTTTTCCAAAAACAGATGAGTCCATATAAATAACTAAAAAGTAATTGTAAGAGCCATCAAAATTTACCTATATTAGATGGCCACAAACATTGGTCCTATCATTTATTGCTCTCGAGACTAGCTGCAATTAATGTTTTGCCTTCTAATTATGCTTATATAGTTTTGACTTTTTTTTTGCTTGCTTCCTCATTTATCTTCCCAACATGTTTTTAGTAGCCAATTTTTTTCCAATGATGGATTGTCACATCTAAGAGAAACTTGAAATTATTTATGTAATTCAATCAAGTACCTATATCAAGCTGAAAACGAGCCTAGGAAACTGACACACAGCGAGATCCTTTGCAGATGTCGTGGATTCCTGTTTGAAACACATTCAAACTGATCAACCAAAGCCGCAAGAAAGGTACTTATAATTCCTCCCTGCCGAATGTAGTTTCCTTAGGGAGAAGATATACTTTTAACAATAAACTTCAGACAAAAAGACCCGTAACTAAGTGTGAGCTATTAGGAAATAACATTTCAATACTTAAGACATTTCATAATATATGAACTAAAGTTCACTTTGCTCAGCAAATTTTCTTTATGACAATGCCATCCATTACCTAAATTTCTTGGCATATTGGAATCCAAACTTTTTTTTTTTTTTTTTTTTTTGAGACAGAGTCTCCCTTTGTTGCCTAGGCTAGAGTGAGTGCCGTGGCGCAGCCTAGCTCACAGCAACCTCAAACTCCTGGGCTCAGTGATCTTCTCTCAGCTCCCAAGTATCTGGGACTACAGGCATGCGCTACCATGCCCGGCTAATTTTTCTATATAATATTAGTGGCCAATTAATTTCTTTCTATTTATAGTAAGAGACAGGTCTCGCTCTTGCTCAGGCTGGTTTCAAACTCCTGACCTTGAGCAATCCGCCTGCCTCAGATTACAGGCGTGAGCCACCTCGCCAAGCTGGAAATGCAAACTTTTAAGAATTCTTTAAGACCTTGAGAAACAGTTTTACTCTAGTAAAAATATCTTAAGCCTTGGACTCTCTGAAGCACCTCTCTAGTATGCATATACAGTCATGCGCCACACAACATTTTGGTCAATGATAGACCACATATATGATAGTGGTCCCATAAGATTATAATACCATATTTTTACTGTACCATTTCTATGTTTAGATATGTTTAGATACACAAATGCTTACCATTGTGTTACAGTTGCCTGCGGTATTCAGTAGAGTAACCTGCTATACAGGTTTGTAGCCCAGGAACAATAGGCTATACCATCTAAGTTTGTATAAGTACACTCTGTGATGTTCGCACGATGATGGAATTGCCTAATGACACATTCTCAGAACCTATACCCGTCCTTAAATGATGCATGACTGTATTTGAAAATTATTAATAAAGTTGAATTTATTTAAAAAATATTTTCCAGTTCACAAGAACTTTTAATATTCTTCCAAGTTAATTTTTATTTTATGTAGAGTATTCCAAAAGTGGATATAACAGAGAATCAACTGCATTTATGATTGTGAGACACACGGCTATAATCCTAGCTCTCTGGGAGGCCGAGGTGGGCGGATCACTTGAGTTCAGGAGTTCGAAACCAACCTGAGCAAAGAGCGAGACCCCATCTCTACTATAAAATAGAAAGAAATTAATTGGCCAACTAATATATATATATATGTATAAAAAATTAGCCGGGCATGGTGGCACATGCCTGTAGTCCCAGCTACTCGGAGCTAGGCCAACAGGATCGCTTGAGCCCAGGAGTTTGAGGTTGCTGTGAGCTAGGCTGACGCCACGGCACTCACTCTAGCCTAGGCAACAAAAAGTGAGAATGTGTCTCAAAAAATATATATATATATGATTGTGAGACAAAACCAAATGCCATATGCCAGCTGCACCCAGTCCAGTTCTAGCTCTTGTCTGGAGGAGCTGACTCAGGAGTCAAGGCCCTCTCTAGTTGGCCCAAGCTTCCTAAACTTGATTCTGTGTCTGTGATGGGAACAAATCAGGATGGTATTAATCCTAGTGGGTTAGAAAAGAGAGGGGAGCTATGGAGCATAAATGTCCAGGGTGACATTTTGGCCCTAGTGTCTAAACCACTGCTGTTCACTCTTCAGTTTCTCTCATTTCTCAGGCCCAGGCTAGAGGTAATCCAATCAAGTGATTAACTACAGGAATTAGCTTTGAAGCTGGTTTTTTGGCTATACTGAGAGTTACATTACTGGGTCATAGAATCCCAGAATTTTAGAGCTTCCAAGGACCTTCAAAGATTATGTAGTTCAAGGTAGAGTTAAGTTGAAATCAAACTTTTATTTGGGAAATAATAATTGTCTTACTGTATGTGGAGTAAGTATAAAAGAACAAGTGATTTTTAGCCTCTCTAAAGCAACCAGTCTAAGAAAAGAAGCATTTTATGAAATAGATTTGAATATAGGCCATTAGGTAACAGAAATAGAAAAAAAATTTTCTTATGAAAGACAAATTATTATATTGCTTGGTGACTGTTATGGTATCATGCAACCCATCTATTTTTCTTTTTTTTGAGACAGAGTCTCACTCTGTTGCCTAGGCTAGAGCGCCGTGGCGTCAGCCTAGCTCACAGCAACCTCAAACTCCTGGGCTCAAGCGATCCTCTACCTCAGCCTCCTGAGTAGCTGAGATTACTGGTGCATGCCACCATGCCCAGCTAATTTTTTCTGTTTTTAGTAGAGATGGGGTCTTGCTCTTACTCAGGCTGGTCTCAAACTCCTGAGTTCAGACGATCCACCTGCCTCGGCCTCCCAGAGTACTAGGATTATAGGCATGAGCCACCGCACCCGGCCTATCCATCTTTCTTACTGAGTCAAAGACCTAAGCAAAAAGGAATAAATAATCCTGAATAGTCAAAGTAGTTGTAAAGTTTCAGATAATTGCTTTTCCTAGAAAAAAGAGTAACTGATCAAGAAAAAAAGTATATTTCTATGCAGAATTTGATTTGTGAAGTTACAGTAGACTATTGATTCTTTCACATTTCGGATTTATTATTTCTGTTAATACCAAGGAATACAGCTGAATTAGTTACTGATGTTGCCTTTGGATTTTCCATTCTTATTCAAATATATTTGTGAGCGAGATTAGGACTCTTAAAGAGCTTCTATATTCAGTTAATCTTTGTATGTATGTCATTGGGGAAATAGCCACAGTTGTTTTTACTTGCCTAAGCATCTGAAGCAAAACCATTATATAGTTAATATTAAATTTGTGGCATTTTAATCATTATTAGTAAATAATCAAGTATTTATTGACCTTGTGTTTGTTATAGGTGAGGAAACCTCTGTCTTATAGAAGGCTTAAATTAAACCTATGTTTCCAGTTTGTTCTGTTACCCACTAGGGTTTCTTACTGATACAGTTATCAGTAATCATAAGTTTAGCTTAAAACAGAAAGAAAATGTGGTTGCTCTTAAACTTTCAGGCTGGGAGGACTAAGCTTCAGCACCACATTCCACGCGTGTCTCTTGATGAAATGAGAAAGGGGAAATGGCATTTACTACGTTGTTGGCCGCTCATTTATCACTTCACTAAATTAGTGAGTCCTAAGGAGCACCTTTGCTGACTGTCCTGTCTCCTCACCCTCAGTCCACCTGGAAGGCCGCTGTGGTGAAAGGATGTTTGATTGCAGAAACGTGGTATTCACTGTTGGTGAAGGAGAAGACCACGACATTCCCATTGGAATTGACAAAGCCCTGGAGAAGATGCAGCGGGAAGAACAATGTATTTTATATCTTGGACCACGGTAAGAAGCATACCAGTCAGAGCACAGTGAAGCTTCCTAAGGAACAGAGATATACTTGTTCTTCATTCAACTTTTTGGCATTTTCGGTGAAGTTAATACTACAGTGGAAACAATTAATTAAATCAGGCTATAGTTCATCATCAAGTAAATTTGGAGGTTTGTGAGCATTTTTACTTGATTGATGTGTGTCAAGAATAGGCCAGTTTTGCTTTTTGGGATTATTTGTTTTGTCTGCCAGATTGCCAAGACAGGCAGCTATTGACCCTTCTCACATGTTCTCCTGCCCCCTTTTCCCTTTTCTTTAAATTAGGCAGGAAACAGTAAAACATAGGAGGGTGGGACTCAAAGAAGCATTTGGATGATTTACTACCATTTGAATTTGTGCCACCTGTTCCTATAGAGTCCCTAAAAAAAGGATGTTCTTCCTGGATCTGAAGACAACAGAGATGACTCATTTTTTGCCTAAGTTTTTCCCATTATAAGGATATCCATTAGCACTTCCAGGCTTAGAACTATCAGACATTAACAATCTCTCTTGTGAAAACATGTCTGGTGTTATTGTTAGATCTAAAATTATACCATTTATCTAACCCTTCTATCTTGAGAAATGGACCCTAGAGAGAGAAACCAGGGTATTTTGATTCTGTTTGCATGAAAGGACATCTGCTTATCTCATGTATCCTTCCCTCTGGCTCTATGGATTTCAGATGGTAGAATTTTGAGTTATTGAGAATCTTGACGACCTGCATTTGCCTATAGGCAGTATTACACCTACAGTCTTTTGCTGTTGTGTAGCTTCTGTAGTAATCCAGAGGCAGATTCACCTGTGCCCTGACACCTGATCCATAATCATATTTTTTTTTTTTTTTGAGACAGAGTCTCGCTTTGTTGCCCAGGCTAGAGTGAGTGCTGTGGCATCAGCCTCGCTCACAGCAACCGCAAACTCCTGGGCTCAAGGGATCCTCCTGCCTCAGCCTCCCAAGTAGCTGGGACTATAGGCATGCGCCACCATGCCCGGCTAATATTTTCTATATATATTAGTTGGCCAATTAATTTCTTTCTATTTATAGTAGAGATGGGTGTCTCGCTCTTGCTCAGGCTGGTTTCGAACTCCTGACCTCGAGCAATCCGCCCGCCTCGGCCTCCCAGAGTGCTAGGATTATAGGCGTGAGCCACCACGCCTGGCCCCATAATCATATTTTTGAGGTGATGTGTTAGCCATGCCATTGCCACTTGAAAAATCCTACCAAAATGCTCTATATTGAGCTCTCTAAAGCCTTCACTGAAGCACCTTTCATGTATGTCTTCTTTTTCTCTACCCTATTCCTTTTCCACTACCATAGTCCCACTTCCATGTGTTTCTTTACATTTACTCTATAGTTGCAATTCATTCTCAGGTAAAGCTAATTCTCTGTTTCTAGAAGGAACTTTTTTTAATCAAGTAGAGCATGGAGAAGGCTATCTCCTCCATATCCATATAATCTCTAATTACTTTTAGTCAGCATTCCAAAATTACAGTAGTTCTAAACTCATAGGGGAGAGGTTATGTCTAATGTATGTTTTCAGATTTAAGCTCCTTAAGGATAAATTCTTTATGTACTGTGAGCATATAGTATTTTATGATTCTGTTCATTTCATTTTAACGTAGCTGAAGGCAATTGTGGAGGTAGATGTCTCAAGTTTAATGGCAAAGAGAAACTGAAATTTTCGTTATATTTTTTAATGTGGATAGTTCCTTGCAGGTTTAAACTGTTGTATCGTTAGTGGTTAAATTCTGCTCTGCTTTCATCAGTGGTGTGTACTTGGGCAAGTCACTTCACTCTTCTAAGCCTCAATTTCCCCTTCTATAAATGGGAACAACAGTACGTACCTCCCTCGTCAACCTGTGCAGGACTAAATGAAATAATGCACTTAGCAAAGTGTATGGCACACACAATCCCTCAGGACATTCACTGTTACTGCTATTGTGATGTCTTCCTCTTCCGTTTCACCCTCGGCACAAGACGAGAAAATCCCATTTTAACATATGGTAGATTTTTCAGATTTTTTCAGGCATAAAAGTAGTTCACAAGTTTTCATAAATTTCTAGATTTAGAAGTTTTTTTATGTTTTACGGAAATAATTTAGAAGAGTTAAGAAAGGAACATGTTATTTTCTGGTCAAGCTGTTGGTATGTTGAGGAGTTATGTAAAGTACCTCAGCAACATGAGACTGTAGGTGCATTGCATAATACTGTACATGTATGTAGAAAATTCCTACACACCAAGTATGTTTTTAGTGCATGCCATGAATTTATTTGTTTTATTTAGATTCCCACTCCCATAAAACATTGCATCTGAGTGTTGCTATAACTGTTGGAAATATATGCTGTTAGTGTCATCTGTATTTCATTCTCCAGCCAACTTCCAAGGCACACCTTGTCTTTCGCTCTGATAGATTCGTTGGCAGAATATTTTCATAGTAAGAAATTCATAAAATACTTCCAAAGAACCCATTTTTCTCTCTTCTCATTGGGACAGTATCTTCCCTTTCTATTGTTGTTTTAATTACAGTGGCTGATTAATCTTTTTGTTTTAGGTAAAGTGTGGATAGTTTTTTTGGTTTGTTTTTTTTTTCATGGTTCTTTTGCCTCAAGAGTGACATTTATTCAAAGGAAAAAAATGACAAGATGTCCATCCGTTGGCTCCCTTCCCTCCCCCTCCTGCTGTTCCTCATCCCCCTCAAGACTGAACCCTGGCTGGGGCTAGGTAGCAGGACAGCCCCTCTCAGATGAAGTCAGCAACATTGAGGGACTTCTCCCCAGTGGAGGTGTAGTAGAAGGTCTCAGTGTCTCGCAGAGTCATCTTGTCTTCTTTTCTCACCATATTAATAGTCACACCCTTGTGACCAAACCATCCAACATGACCGATTCTTTGAGTATAGTTTTTCCCTGTTGGTAGGAAGGTCATAATTGATGACTGAAAAAACCTGCTGCACATCAATGCCTCTGGCCTATGTCAAGAAAGACAATAACTTCAGCATATGAATAAGAGGAGAAATCTATCCGGAAGGGACTTGTGGTATACATGTAGGCAGCCAAGGGAAGGCAGAGGAAGTAAGCATCCCCTGTCCTCCAAAGACGTTAGGCATGCCCAATTTTAGTCCAAGTTGCTGCTTTCCTAAGAAAGGCACTAGCTGGCCTCTTGAAGTGTGGATAGTTTTAATGTTTTTCTTCTGCTTCTTTTCTTTATATTTCTGTCCTGCACCAACTCCAAACAAAAACACAGGCTGCCAAGAGCGATAGTGTCTAATTAGGAGGCAGTATGGGTCAAAAAACCATTTTCTGGGGACACGCAGGGTATGAATTTAAATCCTGGCTCTGCCACTGCCTCTTTATGTGACTTCTCTAGAAGCACTTTGCTGTGAGCCTCAATTTCTTCATCTGTAAAAAGGGAGCTGTAAGAACTTATAGTACAAGTGCTTCTTGTATACAAAAAGCCTTGATGGTCACCGATAGTCATTATTTGTGTCTCTAGCCTCTGGAGACAACTGTTAATTCAAGGACACTAATACTGAATTCATTCTGGTACTGTAGGCCAGCTTATCTTTTGGTTACGTCCTGGAATTGCATTTGTGGTATTTTATATTTCAGTTAGATGAATTGTGTGCCCAGGTTCCTTCTTGCCCAGGCTGATCTGGCGTAAGTCAGACGGCTTTCTGTATGACATGGAACTCAGGACAGTTGGTGTGAGCTGACACCTCTCCAGGGTGATATGCTCCACATGCATCTTGACAGAATTGCTTCATTTTAATCCAGGAGAGATGATAGAAATAATATCCTTTGTTGGTCCTCTTTAATCCTATCTATAATAGTCGGGGCACTTTGGTGCCTCGTTCGACCCAACCCCCACATTTCCCATCCCCAGCCACGGGCGCTATTTGTGGGTTCCTCTAAGGCAGGTTTTCTCATCCTCAGCACCGTTGACATTTGGGCTGGATAATTCTTGATTGTGGGGGGTGTCCTGTGCATTGTAGGATATTCAGTAGTGTTCCTGGCCTCTACCCACTAGATACCAGTAGCACCCCCCTAATTGTGACAACCTGAAATGTCTCTAGATGTTCCTTAGGGGAAGGAGGAGTTAAAATCACCCTGATTGGCTGGGCGTGGTGGCTCACGCCTGTAATCCTAGCTCTTGGGAGGCCGAGGAGGTGATGTGTCTAGCCATGCCATTGCCACTTGAAAAACCCACCAAATGCTCTATATTGAGCTCTCTAAAGCCTTCACTGAAGCACCTTTCATGTATGTCTTCTTTTTCTCTACCCTATTCCTTTCCACTACATAGTCCCACTTCCATGTGTTTCTTTACATTTACCTATATGTTAATTCATTCTCAGGTAAAGCTAATTCTCGTTTCTAGAAGGAACTTTTTTTAACAAGTAGAGCATGGGAAGGCTATCTCCTCCATATCCATATAATCTCTAATTACTTTTAGTCAGCATTCCAAAATTACAGTAGTTCTAAACTCATAGGGAGAGGATGTCTAATGTATGTTTCAGATTAAAGCTCCTTAAGGATAAATCTTATGTACTGTGAGCATATATATTTTATGATTCTGTTCATTTCATTTTAACGTAGCTGAAGGCAATTGTGAGTAGATGTCTCAAGTTTAATGGCAACAAAGCCCTGGAGAAGATGCAGCGGGAAGAACAATGTATTTTATATCTTGGACCACGGTAAGAAGCATACCAGTCAGAGCACAGTGAAGCTTCCTAAGGAACAGAGATATACTTGTTCTTCATTCAACTTTTTGGCATTTTCGGTGAAGTTAATACTACAGTGGAAACAATTAATTAAATCAGGCTATAGTTCATCATCAAGTAAATTTGGAGGTTTGTGAGCATTTTTACTTGATTGATGTGTGTCAAGAATAGGCCAGTTTTGCTTTTTGGGATTATTTGTTTTGTCTGCCAGATTGCCAAGACAGGCAGCTATTGACCCTTCTCACATGTTCTCCTGCCCC